TTTCTGGGATTTCAGCTTTTGAAGGCTGAGGGTGAGGCAGGAGGGCTGAGGGAAAACTCCCCCACCAAGCTTTCAGCTAGCAAATGATGCAGGCTCAGCTAGAAAGCCAAGAGAAACCCTCTGATGCACTCTAGATTTTCACAGAGTATGGTGGGGACCCTCCAAAGGCCCTGGGAGGGAAAGCAGGGAGGAAAGATATCCCCCAAGATGCAGAGGGAAGGAAGCAGAATTGAAGAGAAACAGAATGCCCCCGCAAGCCGAAAACCTGGCAGGAGGTCTGTAAAGCAAGGAGAGATCTCCCATGGTCAGAAAGTTGGCAGTTTGGGTGTGAACAAGAGGCAGATTTCTGGAATATTGCCAATTCTCAATTTTAGGCCAGGATGCACGAAGAATCTTGGATTCTACCATCAAAACATTTGAAGTCATTGATGAACTGAACCAAACCAAATTCACAACAAAGCCCAGTTCAAATTCAAAGCATAATGACTCAACCCTCACTCCAGAGGCCTGAGGTAAAAAGGAAAATGCCACTTCCTGGAGATATATTATTTACTTTAGTCTTTAGTGTTCTTTTATACAAAAATCTAGACCTATAATAAAAAAATTACAAGACATAGGAAAAGCAAAAAATGTTACTCACTGTCAAGAGAGGAAATAATCAACAGAAGTAGACACAGAGATAATCCAGATGTTAGACTTATTAGATAGGGACATTAAAATAACAATGATAAAAATTCTAAAGGATCTAGTGGGAAAGGTACACTAGAGTTAAAAGATGCGTGATCCCAGCAAACACATGAAAACTGGAACCAACTGGAAATAATAGAAATTAAAAACATGATGTCAGGTAGACAGTTCTACAATAGCAATTGGAGACTTCTATATACCACTTTCAATGGTGAATAAGACATCTATATAGAATACCATTAAGGAAATAGAAGATTTGAATAGCACTAACCAAGTAGACCTAAGAGACACACGTTAGAACACTCCATCACGATAGCAGAATACACATTTTGCTCAAGCACCCATGGAACATTCTTCAGGATAGACCACATGTTAGGACACAAAACAGCAAATTTAAAAAGACTGAAATCATACAAAGTATCTTTTCTGACCACAGTGAAATGAAAGTACAAATCAATAACAGAGGAAAGCTGGAAAATTAATGAATATGTGGCAATTAAATAACACACTGTTAGACAACCACTGTATTAAAGAAGAAATCACAGGGGAAATTATAAAAATACTTAAAAGATAAATGAAAATGAAAATGCAACATATCAAAACTTTTTGGATGCAGCAAAGACAGTGCTCAGAGGAAAATTTATGTGTGTAAATGCCTACATTAAAAAGAAGAAAGAACTCAAATCAATAATAACTAAAATCAGAAATGAAAGTAAAGATGTTACTATGAACCTTACAGAAATAAAAAGGATAAGAGAATACTATGTACAATTATATTATACAACAATAAATTAGATTATCTAGATGAAATGATCAAATTCCTGGAAACACAAATGATCTAAACTGACTAAGAAGAAATAGAAAATCTGAACAGACCTATAATAAGTAAAGAGATCGAATCAGTAATCAAAAACCTACCAACAGGCCGGGCGCGGTGGCTCACGCCTGTAATCCTAGCACTCTGGGAGGCCGAGGCGGGCGGATTGTTTGAGCTCATGAGTTCGAGACCAGCCTGAGCAAGAGCGAGACCCCATCTCTACTAAAAAAAAAAAAAAAAATAGAAAGAAATTATCTGGACAACTAAAAAAAAATATATGGAAAAAATTAGCCAGGCGTGATGGCACATGCCTGTAGTCCCAGCTACTTGGGAGGCTGAGGCAGTAGGATCGCTTGAGCCCAGGAGTTTGAGGTTGCTGTGAGCTAGGCTGATGCCATGGCACTCACTCTAGCCAGGGCAACAGAGTAAGACTCTGTCTCAAAAAAAAAAAAAAAAAACCTACCAACAAAGAAAAGTCCAAGACTAGATGGCTTCACTGGTGAATTCTACCAAACACTGTCCAAAAATAGAAGAGGGAGGAATACTTCCTAACTCATTCAATAAGGCCAGCACTACCCTGATATCAAAGACAGATAAAGATATCACAAAAAAAATTACAAAACAATATCACTTATAAATACAGATGCAAAACTCCTGAGCAAAATACTAGCAAACTGAATCCAACAGCATATAAAAAAATGGATATATACCATTATCAATTAGAATTTAACTCAGGAATACAAGGGTGGTTCTACCTAAGGAAATTAAGGAAATCAATCAATTTAACTGATCAACAGAACAAAGTGTGGGAGGGAAGTCACAGATTATTTTAATAGATGCAGAAATAATATTTTATAAAATCCAACACCTTTTCACAATAAAAACACCCAGAAAACTAGGAATGGAAGGGAACTTCTTCAATCTGATAAAGGGCATATATGAAAACACACAGCTAAACATCACACTTAGTAGTTAAAGAATGGAAAGCTTTCTCTCTAAAATCAGGAACAAAACAAGTGAAAATTAGAATTTCAGAAAAATTATATCTGCCATTGTAAGCCTGACAGCTTCCCAACACTTAAAGATTTTTTCTAATGAGATTGGTGGTGATATTAATGAATGTGATGTTTCAATATAATGAAATATGTCAACATTTGGAAGATCTACATAAGTCAATGAACCAAATTTCCAACTGACCTATGCATGATGGTTTCAAATGATCTTATTATACATGATCATGCAAGGATAAGAGACCCATTCAAAGGGCAAGATAGACCAATGAATTTTAATATAGCAGAGTATAAAAATTTCCCTGCCAGACATTTCCAAAAAATGTAAAACAATGCTTCTTTTATCACTAAATATTTTTGTTTTGGAGAATATGGCTATTTTTCATAAAAATGTTACTTATGTTAACAGGCAATGGGCTTACTACTATTATTTTAAATGAATATATAATTTTTTATTTCTCAGGGTTTAAAATTTTTTCAGGTTTTATTTATATAATGGTAAATATCAAAGAATACAAGCTATATAAACAAAAGCTCCTTGAGATCCCCAATAATTATTGAGGGTATAAAGGAGTCCTGAGACCAAAAAGTTTGAGAACCACCAGCCATAGAGAAATTCTCCCCCTTGCACACTAGGACATGTACAAAAATAGTCTCGGAAGTATCGTTTCTAATCGCTGCCCTTTGGAAACAACTCACACATCCATCAACAGTATGGTGGATAAGTAAATTACAGTATATTCATGCAATGGAATATTATACAGCAATGAAAATTGACAAATTACAGCTACATGCAATGATATGGATAAAACTCACAAACATAATGTTGAGCAAAAAAAGCAATATAATATAAAAGCAAAATAATATAAAGTTTGAAAAACAGCAAAACTAAACTATATTATTTCAGGACATATATTTATGTCATAAGAATTTTAAATGTCAGCTGACAGAAGGAGGTTTTTGTTACAAACTTAAAAAGCAATTTTGCACTAAAATTCAATATATTAATAATAATGTCTCTACCCTGTCTTCCCTTCCAAACTCTGTCTCCCATCTGCCCAGGCCTCCCAATTCTGGGTCTTTGCACGTGTTATTCATTCTTTTTTGCTTTCAAAACTCCAGCTTATCCTTCAAGGTCTGAGACCAAAATGCAACTCCTCACTCTTTGAGAACATACTGGCCCTAGCAGTCTAAACACCTAGCGCTTCAGAGAACTGAGCTTCAGAGTCAGTAGAACTGGCTTTGAATTCTAGCTCTGCTACTTAACCAGCTGCAACATGGTGGACCAGTCACTTTCCCTCTCTAAGCCTCGGTTTTTGCTCTGTCAAATGGGGTAACCTCTTCCCAAGGTTGCTGGAAGGATTACACAAGACAACAATGCAGATGCTTAGCAGGGAAAGCATTCCAAAAATGTGAACTCCCCTCACCCGTCACACATGTCATGCTCAGCGCTTCAGACCAGGGAGGTCATGCCCAAGGAAGCTTACTCTAAACTCTTCATCCAAAGAGATCCTGAATGTTCGCTAGATCGCTGGTAGGCCCTAGAACTATCCTCACCCTTAGCTAATCCTAATAGAGCTTGGTCCTGTACCCAAAGCAACAGGTCCTGTCAGGTAGATAGTTAAGATCTCCAGCTCTTCTTGGGACAAAGGCTCCCTGTTTTGATGCTGTTTTGAGCAATTGTTCCACCTTTGAAGATGGATAAGGGCAGGCAGGCGCTCCATTTTAGTGTTGTCCCACCTTTAATCCTATCCCGAGCAACTGCTACACCTAGGGAAGGAGGGAATGCTTTATCAATCTAGCAATTCCCCAGCTCAGGCAGAATAAGATTTAGAGAGTGACCTAGAGTTAACTAAGGGTAATTAATATGCCATTAGCTTGAATCTGCATTGTGGTTCTCCACCCCCAGGTGGAGGGAGCTTGGAGGGAGCTTTCTTGGAGGGAGCTTGTATATGCAGATGGAATTTTGAGGACACCTGTTGATCATTTGATAACATCCTACACCTCCCAAGAGTCCTCCTCCAGACTGGGCTAATGAAAGGAAACAATCTGAGAAGTCAGAGGGAAGTGAGTGGGTCAGTCAGTGATTGAGTTGGTCTGTCTCTCTCCACTTGTGGAGACAGGACTGTTGTTCTACAGTAAAGAGCTGTTCTTGTGAAACTGCTCCCTGCCTGAGGTTACTTTCTCATATTGGCCTTGCTGGTGATTTTTCCAAGAAAGGAGTCAGAGGACTGGGATAATAGTCTGGACTTGATATTAATACTTTGGTGTCTCTGGTCATTCTTCGGCCAAGAGCACACCAAGAACCAAGGGCAGACTCCCTGCTGACATCTTTGGTGCCCAAACCTGGGATTCTGACAGTCCCAGCCCTGGCATCATTCCAAAGAACAAATGTTATATCACACAGCTGAAAGGCCTCCACAATGGTCAAAAAGCTTAGGGAGAGAGGTACCCAGGTAAGGGAAATGGGATAGGTGAGGAATTACCTCCTGAGCCAGGAAGCGCAGTTTTGCCAGGAGCTTCTTGGCCAATGCCACCTTCTTTTGCACGTTGCCCTGTCTCAGGCCCTGGAGAAGCCGCAGTCCTTGCTTTGCCAACAGGTTCTGGAAGGCCAAGAGGAGACCACGAGTGGAAGGCCCCAGCCAGGTGCCCCTGACTCCCTTCCCAGGCCCGTACCAGGCTGTGCACCAGCAGTTTCCCTCGGCATCGATCCAGGGTGTTGGGCCGAGTCATCGTCCTCCGCTCAGCACCATGGCAAAACTGTCTGCATAGCAGGTGGGAGTCAAAGGAGAGTGCTGACCACTGGGGCCACTTCCCTCAGAGCAGGCGTCCCACCCCAGCCTCCCTCACAGCCTTCTCAGTCTGGTGCTCTGAAGAGGTGCCTCCAACTGCAAAGTTTCTCTTGAATCCATTCCTGCCACTCATCTCCATGGCAACCATCAGTTTCATCAACCTCTATCACCTGGTTTATCATAATACCCTCTCTAGTAATCACCCTGCTTCTTCTCTAACACCATCCCTCCCCCACTGGTCCTTTTTAAGGATAAATGTATATTAGAACATATCTCTTTTCTTTTCAAAACTCTCTGCGTACTTGCAGATGATGATTTGAAAGAAAAAAAAGAGAAAAAAAAAAACCTTCAATGGCTCCTCATCTCACTCAGAGTAGAAGCCAAGATCATTACAATGTGCTAAGAGGCTCCCACACCATCTGCCCAACAGAATCATCCTCCTTTCTACACCCCCTCCAGCCTCATCTACTCTGCTCACATTGCTGTAGTCACACTGGTTCCCTTGCTCTTCCTCAAACACACCAAGCATGCTTCTACCTCAGGGCCTTTGCACATACTGTCCCCTCTGCCTGGAACATCCTTACAGACATGGCTTGCTCCTTCATCTTCATGTCACCTTCACAGTGGCCTACCTCCCATACCCCTTCTAAAACTACAACACCTCTCTCTAACACGTCCTTGCTTTTTTTCTCACTTAACACTTATCCTACTTATAATATTTCTATCTCTCTGTTCACATGATTATCATCTGTTTCTCCACCCATCCCCCACCCCACTCCCCACACCAGAATGTAAGCTTCCAGGATTTTTATGGGCAGGAACGCTTTTCCACTGCTATTCCTGTGCCTAAAACAGTGTCTGGCATAGTAAATGCCATAAATATTTATTGAATAAAGAGACAAATAACTCTTTTGAGAAGACGATCAGAAAAATACTTAAGTACCTAAAGCAGGTTACGGAATTCAGGGAGTGAAAGTCAAAGATGAAACTGACTAGAACATGTTTATGTGGTTACAGCAATGACTTGGCAACTAGGGACCAGTTGATGACGCAGGAGAGAAAGGACAATTGCAGAGCTCAATCCTCCAGTAGGTGAGAGGAGATGAGATCAAGATCACAGCTGTGGCTGTTGGAGCAGGGACACCTCCTCCACTGTAGCAGGAAGGAGGGAGTGCAGATGGATGCAGGGGCCGCAGGGTGGTGGCCTGGGTGGGGAAAGGTGAGGCTCCTGTTCTCTCAAGAAGTAGAAGAGGTCATTAGCTGAAACAAGTGTGGAGGAGAGTAGGAAGGGAGGTTTGAAGAGACAGGACATGGTATGTATTAGCTTCTAAGAGTGTGGGAAAGGGAGATGGAAGGCAGCCCAAGCACCAGAGGATCTGGGGGTGGCCTAACCCCCAATAATCTCCATCAAGCTCCCTTGATAGGAACAGTCATCTCCTTTCCAATATTCCATAAAGTGCTGAGCGAACGCAGCTGCAAGCCAACCTTGGGTCCACACAGTCATCATGAGTCTCCATCACCCCCACCTCCCCCCAACCCCCCGGGAGTTGGCCAGGGACAGGAAGCAACAGGGCTGGCTCTTGGCTCACCTGCTCCCAGCCACCAGCTCTTCCAGCGCCTGCTTGAGCCGTATGCAGGCACCTGAACCCGGCCTGCGTTGTAGTGTCTCAACCTCCTGCAGCCCCTGGTCCTGCGTAGAGGGTAGAGAGTCTTGAACATCCCTGATCCTGACTTCTTGTAGACCACACCTCCACCTGCCCCACTCCCTGCCACATCTCTTGGGTTGCCCTCCTTTGGCTCCATTCGGATGGTGGTTCCATTTTTCTAGTCCCCTACTGGCCCAGCCCCCAGTAGCTCCATCTGTCTCCTTCAGCCAGCCCTTCCTGGGTCCAGTAACTCTGAATCTCTGTCCTTCCACAGCTTCTGGCTTCCTCAGTTGGCCCAAAAGCTGTGCTTTTTTGCCTCCCCCGCCCCTGATCTTGCACCAACAAGGTGCTGGCTTCCTAGTACTGTGCCCATTAGCACTGCTCCAGAGGGCTTTGGTGTCCTCAGTGTCCCTATAGCCCAGCATCTCCTCGCGGGTGCCAGCCTTGCCCTCACCAGCCTCTCGGCCACTTTGCGCACACAGTTGCTGCTGTGCAAGCGCCACGTGTGATCCTCCCAGCGGCTCCACACACGCACGCATGGCTTGCGGTGACGAAGGGGCAAGCACAGGTACGGCCTGGGTGGGGTGGAGAGAAGCAGAGGCTTGAGGGGCGTTCTGGGTCTTTGGGGACCTCCCAACACCCTCCTTCCAGCCACCAGGTGCATTCACCCGCTGCCGTCCATGGGCTCAGGCCGCTGAGCAGGGGTCCCCAGCTCCTCCTCCTCCTCCAGCTCGGCTCCGGTGTCTGACTTCAGCAGAGGCTGCACCTCCACCAACGTGCCCTCAGTTCCCTCCCTGGCCCTGGACCCTCGGCCCAATTGTTCCTCCTGGCGACCTGCTTGACCTACCCCAGGAGCAGCAAGGGTCAGCGGGTCCCAGGCTGAGAGTCAGACCCCTCCCTCAACCGCCTCTGCCTCAATCAAAGTCAGAACCCACCCCTTACTGAAGGTCAACAGCCCTTGCCAGGGGCCTAAGGTCTGAAACAAGAGTGACCACCCTCAAAACATGACCCTCAGGGAGTCCGCTGGGCCACACACCAATGGAAATCTCGAAGCTGATGGGCTGGGAGGCCACAGCAGGGTCAATCATGGTGGCCTCGAAAAGCACACCAAAGAGCAGGAAATCTTCGCAGGGCGCCAGGGCATTCTGGGGAAGGGAGTTAGGCTGGAGTCAGCCCTCACCCTCCCAGGGAGCAGCCGGGACTATGCATGGCCACAGTGCCCACAGAAAGACATTGCAACCAAGGCCTAGAAACGACTGCAGGTATCCTACCTCCCTCTCTGCCCCTTGCAGCCCCAAGGCATTGGCCCTGGGGATTGGTCCTCCCCGGTCCACCCCTAATTGGGCAGCCATCCTTCCCCCAACACGTGTACATACACTTGAGCATACACATACTGTACTCTTCACCCAAGCCCCCAAATTGAGACCCCCTTCATGGTGTTTTAATGTCTGGAAGTGGATTACACCCTCCAGAGCTGAAAGTGGCCCAGCCCCCTTTGCTAAGCCCCAGCCCCCACCTCTGGCAGTGGCAGCAGCTCCTCCACCTCCACCTCCATCGCACTAGGAATCTCAGGCCCAGGAGCACTGTGGCTGGTGTCCACCTGCTGTGGAACCCCAGGTGGGGTCCGACCCCGCCTGGCTTTCTTCTTCTTTCGTGTGAGCCGTGACAACCTGGACCCCTGTTGGGGCTGAGGAGGCTCAGGTTCAGCTCTCCCTTCTAACACCTCCATGGACACAGCCACCAGAAGGCGGCCACGGAACCAAATGCCTTGGCCGAGGCCTTCGTTGAGACTTTGAAGACCATCCCGGAGCCCCCCACTGGGCGGCGAGCCATAGAGAGGCACCCAGGCTGGGCCGAAGGTGGGGTTAAACCCCGCTGTGGGGAACAAGAACAGTGTTTTGGAGGGGAGCAGGAGGCAGGTGGGTTCTAGGTCAGTCTATGAACCACACCCTTACTACCTGCAAGTCTTTGGAAGGTGGGAGCAGGGGAGGGGCTCCGCTGCAGATGCACTGCCGTGGAGCACGACCTGGGGGCACTTCTACACCAGCTCAGCTCCCCAAGGCACAATACTGACCGACAGGGTCGGAGGACCAGGACGGGGGCTCTTGGGGCCGAGCCTGGAGCCCTGGAGGTGGAGCCAGGATTGGGGCGGAGCTATGGGCGGCAAGGGGCTGGGGTAAGTGGACATGGGTGGACCAGCATGTTTCAGTGCGTGCAAATTTGTAGGAAGGGCAGGGCTGGAATGATTACTGGACATGCAGCTGTGGTCAAGATTTTGTCAACAGAGGCCAAGCTGAGGGTGGGGTTCACAGTCTTGGGGCGACAGGTGAGGCTCCAGAGAGAGGGCAGGGCCGGTTTGGAGCAGTTTTTTTGGTTTGGGGTTTTTGTTTGTTTGTTTGTTTTGTGGGGTGGACAAGACTTCCTAAGCAGAGCTGGGTCCTGAGGATGAAGTTTGCTGTCGGGAATGGGACCTACGGCGCAACCAGGGCTCGGAGTGAGCAGAGGCGAGTCGAGGTGGAGTTTGCCACGGGGCCGGACTCAGGTCAGAGGCCAGAAGCGCTCACCGGCGCGGCCGGGGTGGGAGATCTGCCTCAGGTCCAGCACGTGCGTGGCGAGAGCCACATCGACAAGGGGTGCGTCGTCCCTCAGCTGCAGACGAAAGCCGCGCGTCAGCGGCGGGAAGAGCTCCACGAAGCTCAGCTGCTCGTTCCACTCGGGCGCCGCCGCCTCGCCGCACACCGACGTCTCACCCTAAAGCGGCAGCGAAGACACGCGGAGGGGGGTCAGCGCGGGATCCGGGTCTGAGCCGCGGCAGGATGGGACGCGGGGGACTTACCTGCTGCCCCAGGAAAGACACCCGCACGTAGGGCTCCATGAGGACGTGCTGGTCGTGCAGGGCGCGGGCCAGGCTGCCCAGCAGCCCCGGGCGCAGCGCGGGAAGCCCCTCGGCGCGGTACAAGCGCACGCGGAGCCGCGCCCACGGCCTCTCGGCCGGCACCCGGCGCGGCAGGAGCAGGTTCCTAGAGTAGGGCAGCGCTGAGAGGCTGGGAGGCTGGAGTCTCGGCCCCTCCCCTTCTCCGCGCCCCGGAGGCCACGCGGGTCCCAGTCTACCCTCCCCACCTCATCCCAGCTCACTTCTCGATGTCCGAACTGTGCCCTGGGCCCGGGGGTGGCAGTGAAGGGGGCTGGTCCCCACGTGCCCTCACGGACAAGGTGACCTTGACGAAGCCTTTGGTCCCGGCGCGGGTGTCCCGGGGGTCATACAGCGGAGCCCATTTCTGGTAGAAGTGGCCATCTGGGGGGGAGGGGCGGGCCAGGAGTCAAGGGAGACTGGCGGGATGCACGAGGTGGTCCATAAAGCTGCAATTGGAGTGTGGGACAATGCCCGGGTTCCCATCTGGCTCAGCAGCGAGGAGCGGGAGTGCAAAGAGTTCAGCCTTCACGGAGATGGCGGTCTCAGAAGTTAATGTGCAGGGGTCGGTGCAGAGTTCCTACCCAGAGAGTCAATTTCTGGGGTCCTTGTCCATGCAGATGAGTCTCAGGTAAGAGAAGGGTTTGGTACCTGGCTGGTCGAAGACGATACCCAGGTCCATGCGGAAGGTGCCTATCCGAGTGGCCATAAAGGGGAGGGTCTGCGAATGGAAAGCCTAAGAGAGAGGTGGTGTTAGTCCTGAAGCTGTTGTGTCCCCCCTTCGCTGAATGAAACCTCTCACCCCTACCCCCCTCACCGTGATCTCCAACAGCAAGTCTTGGAGCCGAAGCCGGGTCTCATGAAATTCGAACAAGAAGTACTGGGTTGTAGCAGTGGGGAGAGAAGGTTAGATGTGAAGAGCTCGCGCCAGCTTTCGCCAGTCTCTGGCAGAGAGAATGCCCTCCTTCCCCGGCCCCCCACAGCGCCTCACCGCAACCTTTCCCTCCAGCCCCTGCACATCCGTGGGCTCAGTTCCACCCAGGCCACGCCCCTTCGGGGACAGTGCCTATCTGAGTCCCGCCCCTTCTCTCAGGCCTGCCCTCTTCCCTGGTCGTGCCCACCTCGTTGTAGAAGGGGCAATTGGTCCCACGTTGTGTGGCAGTCACTCGGCGCTGCTCCCCAACGTGCACAGCCACATAGGGGTTAATGTTGACTCCCACCAGTTTCTGTGCCTCCAGCACGGTGACGCCTACCTGAGGGGTGCAGAAGGTGGAGAAAAGGAAGCCATACCTGACTGGGTACGGGGAGGAACATGTGTACCCTCAGAACAGTGGGTACTCCCCACATTTTAGGGCCTGGAAAAAGAGCAGTACCTGGAAGTCTTGGGCTCTGGACATCTGGAAGGGATCCCCGCGGGCCAGGCCCCGGGCTCGGCTGTGGAGAAGCTTAAGGTCAGCTGCCACTTGGCCCCCACCCAACTCACACACATACACTTGCATGGTGCTGGGGATGAGATTTCCTATCTCACTGAACTTTTAGATTGAGTCCTTCAAGTCTTGCCTTGTTGCCTCCATCTCAACCCTGCACCCGGAATTTGACCCATTCCTGGAGCCCTGAAACCAGTCATTCACTCAACAAAGATTTATTGAGCACCTACTATGTGCAATCACTGCCTTAGGCACTGGGACACTGCAGTGAACAAAAGGGACGAAACTCTTTGCTCTCATCAAGCTTTCATCACCTGCATGTGTGTGAGCCAGTGTAACTGTGCATGAACATGGCAGTGTCTATGCCTATGGGTGAATGACCCTTGACCCCTTCCCACATACCCTGGGGCCACATGTTTGTGAGGGTAGAAGGGCGTGGGTCTGTATGTGTGAGCGGAGAGACTGACTCACTGGTAGGGTGTGGGAGCAGGTATGCCATGGGTACAAGTTACCTCTTGAGGGGGCTGAACACAACCCCGGAAAGCTCCACATCAGGCTCATCCTCCAGCTCCAGCTCCAGCTCCAGCTCGTTCTCCTCGTCATCCTGCTGGCCTAGGCCTCGAGCTAGCCTGCGGCCCAAAGCCACTGCGCGCCGCTCGAGCTGGGCCTCCCCAGGCCTGATAGGAAAGGCCCTCAACGGACATGTCTGGAACCTATCACCCATCTCTGGGCATCCCTCAACTTCCTGGACCTTAGGACTGACCCCTGACCCTTGGACTGACCCCATTGATCCCAGGACAGACCCCTAATCCTGGGACCCCTCTAATTCCAGAATTGACCTCTAATTCTAGGATTGACCTCTGACCCTGGAATTGATTCATTACTGATCCCAGACCCTGAGGCTGACCTCACATCACTGGCTTCTAACCCCAAGACTGACCCCATTGACCTTAGGTCATCCCTCCCACACTTACTCCAGCTCCTGGAAGCCCACATTGGGGATGATCAGTTCCGAGCTGGGAGGAGGAGAAACAAAAAGAGAGAGAAACAGGCCTGACTACAGAGCTGCAACCCAGGCAGCCCATGTCCAAGGGTCACAGTAATGGTAGATCCAGCCTGGAATTGGGTGCCACTTCTCCCTTTCCAGGGCCTGCCTGGGATGGGGCCACCAGGCCTTGCTTAGGTTGCTGGAGGGGGTAGCGGTTACCTGTCAGAGATGAGTGCCCCAAAGTCCTCCTCTCCCCAGGTTCCAGTAGCGCCCTCTGGCGGCTGGTACTTCAGGTCAAGCTCCACTTGGATCTAAAACCAGATACAGTGTCCCCCAGAGTCCCCTCTAACTGCCCTGGGGCTAAAAGAGGCCCAAGGACAATGCCTTTTATTTCATCCATAAACAGAGACCCTCCTGACCTGCAGCTATGGTACCTTGTGATTCCTCTCTGATGATTAATAATGCTGACTACTCACAACCTGCTAAGAAATTACCATGTGCAAGTTACTTCTTCAGTGGGCCAACTTGACTCCAAAGTTCCCTCGCTGACCGTGGCCTTCATTACTCTGTATGGTCTGGCCCCACCAACCTTTCCAGCTTCATCTCATCCTGGATTCTGCTTCTGCTCTGCACCCCAGCTGTGCTCTACCAGGATACTGGGGTTTTGCATATGCCTTTTCCTCTGCCTGGAACATTCTCCCCTCCTACTTAGTTAACACCTGTCATCCTTCAGGTCTAAGCTCAAGCACTACTTCCTCAGGGAATCTTTTCTGACCCCCAAATAGGTCACTGTTTGTACCTGTTGTACACTCTCCCAGTCTCTACCAGCTCCTTCATAACACCCACCAGTTGCAATTTTACACTTATTTGTGTGAATATCTGTTTAATGTTTGCTTCCCTCTTTAGATAGGGAGCTCCAAGAGGGCAAATACGCTCAGCACAGCAGTTGGCTTATAATAAGAGCTCAACAAATGATGCCAAATTGAATGAAAAATTCAACATTTTGTATGACTCCACATTATGTAAATGAGAAAACAGCTAAATAACTTGTCCAAGGTCTCAGATGGGAAATGGCAGATCTGAGATTTGAGACCAGGTCCACATCTACTGGGCTGTATGACCCTCCATGAAGTAACAGGAAAATCCATCCAGGTTCATCTTTGTCTCCCATAAGAATTGAGCCTGCTGTAGGGTCAGGGAGCAGCACAGAATTCCTTATTTGCCCCATGGCCACAACCCTGGGCCTCAGAGCTGAATCTGGTTCTTGGCCCATGTGGGACTCAGGAAAGGCCTTCAGGGGACCCCTGATCCTTGACTCCAGCCCCCCTGGCTGGGGGGCCTTGGTACCACTCCCGTCTGGGTCTTGGGTTTTCCCCTCTGAGAAATGGGACTTTCAGGCCTGGTGCTGGCAGACTGGGGGCTGGTGGGGCTCACCCGGGACACTCGAAGATTCTCATCCACCAGGGCTTCCCGTAGCACCAAATGCCCAGCATTCTGTAGCTGCTGCAGGGAGATCACCAGGGTCCCCAGAGGCCTGGGTGAGTGGCATAGAGCAAGAGTGACCCAGGAGAATGGCACCAAGCCACACCCAGCCTCACCTACATCCTGGTCCCTCCAGGCCTACTCACCTGGGGCTGAACACACGGCTACAGTTGACCACCTGCACAGACAGACACTCCCCAGCCAGTGGAGCCCCATAGTGAGGCCAACGGAACAGCTAGGGATAGGAGGAACCTTGTGACACCCAATGCTGGGCTGGTCCTCACCCCCAACCCAGAGCCTATTCCCATCCCTGAAACAGGAGCTGACCCTCCAAACTTGTAGCTAACTCCAGAACTGATCTCCCAAACTGGAAACTGATTCCCGCAACATGGGATTGACTCCAAATTAGGGCTAATCTGGGGCTGACTACCCATCAAGAACTAATCCTCTCAGTCTTAGGACTGACTTGTTCTAAACTGGGTCTGACCTCTCAAGCCCAAGATTGACCCCTCACCTCCCAAGACTACACCTCCCAAAACCCAGGAATGAGCCCCCTAACTCCAGGATGGACTTGATAGTAAACAGACCAGCTTCTCCCCATCCAAAAACCAACTGTACTGACCTCGTCAATATCTGCTTCTTGACCACAGCGAATTTTTCTTGTTTTCTGGGTAAAGCCTGCTCAGAACTGAAACTAGTCATTTATTAGCCTCTCCCCACCAAAAAGTCATTTTCCTCCCCCACCCTTGGCCCAGTGTCCAGTCCCTCCTGGATTCACCCTTAAGGAACGGCAGAAGATGGGGAGGAAAGGAGGCAGAGGGTTGGAGATATCAGGCTGAGGGAAAAAGGAGACAGGCTGTAAAGATGGCGAGGGCTTGGGCTCAGGGTCTAGGGAATGGAGGATCCAGAGCCCTCCAGTTCCAAAAATCCTTAGAGCACCCCTGCAAGCCTCACCCCGGAAGCTGAGCTTCACTTGTCGGTCGTGGGTGCCCGGTAGCCCTGTTAGTCGCCGCACACACACAGTCAGAGCCATGGTCCCAGTGCCACTGGCACTCCCTTTGCCTGCCTGCCCTCCTGCCCACCTGCCCGCCCACCTGAATCGCCTCTGACTCACTGGACTAATCCAGCAGGTTCAGCAATCCCTGCCCTTTAGTCAAACACACAGGCAGCAAGCCTAGGGGTCATGGGTGGGGAGGGAGACGGGACTGAGAGTTGAGGGTAAGGTCCCTGTAGTTAGTTCAATCCTCCCTGCCTGCACCAGCTAGCTACAAGCTGGCAGGACTGCTTCAGCCTCCATCCTGCATCCTTGTGGAGTGGGAACTATGATAGGGTGGGGATGGAGGCAAGGGAAGAGGACAGGACCCCAGTCTGGTCCCTGCCAGCCTATGAGGCCTCAAGGGCATGGGCCTTATGTTCCTTCTTGTTCATCTTTCTATCCTCTATGCCCAGTTCAGGGTGTGGCACATGGTAGACCCTCAAAACACTGTCTGAATAAATGGATGGATTAATAACTGAATCCTCTATCCCTCAGCATTAATGCTATACGTATTCAACATACTTATTGAATTAATGAGTGATTTAATGTGTGTCCCTAGCTTGCACATGGTAGGTGCTCAAGCCAGAAGCCAGAGGTCCTTAACTTGGGGTCCTAGGACCCCAGTGGGACCACAGAATGGTTCCATGGAGTCTACAAACCTTTGAAATTTTCTGTAAATATCAAGCACCTATGCATTCTTCTGGACAAAGACCTCCTAGCTTAATAGGGCTTAATAACCCTTAAACAGATGTGCAGTACTTTTGCTGACTGAAGTAATGAATGCATCCTGAAGTCTGGACCCATAATAGGTAATAGTAACTATGCATTGACTGCATTTCACAGCCATCCACTTAGTTATTCTATTAATAACACCTCCTATGTGCAGGACTTGTGCTGTGTCACCTTGTAGGGGGTGCAGCCAGAGAATGGTGAATCAGATGTGTTCTGTCTTCCAGTGGCTTCACAGACTCCAATACTTAGCACAGCTTAAAAAGACTGCAATTCCCATAAAAGCAGGAAAGTGTCAGGGTCAAGGAGGTCAGAAGAGGGAGGTCAGAGGGGCTTCCCTGAAGGAGTTTTTAAAATGGGCTGAGAGGACAAAATTTGGGAGCAGAGACAAACATCCAGGCAGTGGGGAGGAATGCAGTGTGTTCTGGGACATGTGATTTGTTTGGTTTGGCCTGAATACAAGGAATGTATATTGGGCAGCAGCAGCAGCAGCAGATAAGATTAGACAGAGGAGCTGGGTCTTGCTATGTGGCCTTGAGTCAGACATGGTCCCTCCTTGTGTTTCAGCTTTTCCATCTCTGTTCTGGGATGGAAAGCCCGGTTCTGCCTATTTCTCCGTTGTTACGTATTCAAATGAGTTTGGGGGTCCATAAAACACCAGACAAGAAGAATGGGCTGTTCTGTTTCTAAGAAAGGTCCAGGTTAGACCTGAAGACCCTCAGATATTGAGGGAGGGCTTTACCTCCCCCTTTTAATAGATGAGGACACCGGGACACAAAGGAGTTCACAGTCAAACAGGAAATAGGCCAGGGGTAGGGGGTAGTGTGGGATGTACAGACAAGAATCCTTAGTTTTCAGTGTCCCAGCCTTCCTTTCCCTTCCTCCTCCTGGGGTCTGTGGTGTCTAATCAGCAAGATATTGATGTCACCCCTCTGGAGCCTGACATGGGCATCTCCCCTCTAGGCTAGAACACAGCTTAACAGGTTGTTCCTGTGCCTCAACCCCTCTAAGAACTGCCACTTCCACTTCCTAACATTCTAAGGAAGGTGGGATGGTGTGGGAAGAGTACTAGGCTGGAGGGAAGGATTTTGGAATTCTAATCTGCTATGCACTGTGTCGTCTCAGGGAAGTCCTTTCCCCTCTCTAGATCTGTTTGCTTAGCTGTGTAACTTACACAGGATGCACTGCATTGCTTTTTGAAGTGTGGTCCTTAATCAGGATCACAGCAGTGGTTGTTAAAAATGTGCATCCCTGGGCCCACACCAGAAATGCTGCAGTAGGATCTCGAGGTGTGCCTGGTATTCTGGTGCATAGCAGGAGTTTGGGAACCCCTGGTCCTCTGGCTGTGACCATTTGTGATTCCTCAGTCCATTCTCCAGGGCTCAGGTGTATGGTCTGAGTGTGGGTATAATCATTGGTGGGTGCTGAATTCACACCCCAAAGACCCCTGAGGAACATGGGGCTGAGGGAGAGACACCCAGATCCTGAGGGCAGAGTTCTCTGGCCTGATGACTGGGAGGGGAGGAAAGGGCTGCAGGATTTGCAGAGCAAAAGGGACTAAATGTTTATCTAGAAGTGCAAGGGGGTGATGGCTTGCTTCTTAACACTTATTCAGTCACAAATATCTGAGCACCTACTACACGCTAGGCCTATCTAGGTGCTGGAGGATACAGCAGTGAACAAACAAAAATCCCCTGCCCTCATTAAGGTTACATTCTAGTGGGCATGACAGGCAATAACGAAATAAATAAGTGAAATATACACCATGTATGAGAAAAAGCAGGGACGGGGGATAGAAATCGTTTTACCCTGAGTGCAATTTTAGATGGGCTGTTCTGGGAGGTGTTGTGATGTCACTGCTGTCTTCACACGTCAGAAAGAGTGAGAGAGGCTGCCATGGCTCCCAGCGACGTCACCGCTAGCTCTGTGACGCGCGGCCAGGACGTTCCGCGGAGACCGTAGTCTCCTCTGTGACGTCAGCAGCCGGGCCCAGACACAGGCCAGAGGGTTGGGTCTGGCCGCGGGGCCTGCCAGCTGCACGGTGGGTCCGTGGGGTCCCTGCGGCGCGCAGCTGCTGAGGGAGGGCCCAGGGCCTTGACGACTGCGGCGGCGACTTTGGCGTCCGCGAGGGCGGCCCCCGGTCAGGATGCGGCGGAACCCCCGCACCGGCTCGGCTGCGTCCCCGCGCAAGCACACGCCCAACTTCTACAGCGACAACAGCAACAGCTCAGTGAGCGTCACCTCAGAGGACAGCAACGGCCACCGGTCAGCTGGGCCGGGGCCTGGGGAGGCCGAGGGCAGAAGAGCCCGGGGCTCGAGCTGCGGTGAGCCCGCCTTGAGCGTGGGAGTGCCCGGAGGAACCACATGGGCAGGAAGCTCTCGGCAGAAGCCGGCGCCTCGGAGCTACAACGGGCAGACCGCCTGTGGCGCGGCAACCGTGAGGGGCGGGGCCTCGGGTGCGGGCGGGGTCGAACTTGGGTGAGCCGATGGAGGGGGCGGGGACTAGGGGGCGGGGCGTGGGGCGGGCCTAAAATTAAGTCTGAGCACCTCCTATGGGGAGGGGCCTGTAGGGTAAAGGGGAGGTGCTAAATAAGATCCCTTAAGGGGCGGGGCCTCTGCGTGATGGGCGGTCGTGGGAAGGGGCGGGCGAAATCTTGTGATTGGGCACCACCGAGGAGGCGCGGCCTCAGTGTTAGTGTGAGTGGCTTCTGGGACAACCGGGCCGCGCCAAGAGCTAAGGCTGGGGGCGGGGTATCCGTTTGCGGGGTGGGACCAATTCTTGACTGAACCTCCGTGAGGGGCGGGACTCAGAATGCGCAGACTGACCTGGGAGGGTGGTGCAGGAGAAGCAAAGCCTGTGAGAGGCTGCCCAGCTTTCTGGCATCTGGGCGGGGGAACCTGCGGCCGGGTCCCGGGGGGAAAAGTGGGCTTGCGGTGCGCAAGGCCCCAATGGAGCCCTTGGGCTCCCACAGAACCGGCTGAGTCTCCTGTAGTCTCTGAGGAGCAGCTCGACCTTCTCTCGACCCTGGATCTCAGGCAGGAGATGCCTACCCCGCGGGTGTCCAAGAGCTTTCTGAGTACGAGCCAGGCCAGTCCTGATCCCCTCTGACCCTCCAGCTCCCCTCCCTAAACTCCAGTTCTCATTCTGAGACCTGGTTCTCCGTTCTGAGCCCCCTGCCCATGTCTGACTATCCAGCCCCTTCTCTGAGCCTCAACTCATTCTCCTAGCGCCCATCTAATTCTCCTAGCCCACCCCTCACCCCTCTCTTCATGAGCCCCGGGCCCATCCCTGGTCCCCTTCCTGAACCCCTTCTGAACCTGGAACACTATGCTGAGTCCCCGCGTCCTCATCTTCTCTGCCCCTCTCTGAGCCCCCTTTCCTGTCCTCAGGCCTACTCTTCCAGGTGCTGAGCGTGTTGTTATCCCTGGTAGGAGACGTGCTGGTCAGTGTGTACAGGTCAGAGGGGGGGACGAGGCACCCCAGGGGCTGCTCTTTGGAGGGGGTGGGGAGCAGTGCCAGGACCTGGCTGATGCTTGAGCCGATTCGGATCTGGTTGAGTTGTGTTCGCAAGAGGTGGGTCTAGAACCCCAGGGTGGGGGTTGGGGGGTTGACTAGGGTCTGGGGCCTCAGCCTCCCTCCGGTTCCTCAGGGAAGTCTGTTCCATCCGCTTCCTGCTCACGGCTGTGTCGCTGCTGAGCCTCTTTCTGGCAGGTGAGGGCTGGTGAATTCCCTGGGGCCCCAGCCCTGGCTGCTTTGGAGCCAAACCCAGCACATTTTCTTCAGCCCACTCTGCCCCTTCAGAAGCTCCTCGCATTCCCCTTCAGAGCCCGCTAGCGCCCCTTCAGACTTTCCCCCCTCCCCAGACTCAACCCTGTCAAGAATCTTCTCAGTGTCCCCTTATGCCAGGGAACCCCCTTCTCTTCCTTTCCCTTCTCCTGAGAAACCCCCCCTTTCTTTCTCCAGCACTCTGGTTGGGGCTCCTGTATCTGGTCCCTCCCTTGGAGAATGTGAGTTGGGGAGACTGTGTCTTTGGGTGGGTGGTTGGCAGGTTGTGAACCTGGAGATTGTGGGGAGTCTCCTGGATTGCTGGGAGGGGGCAGTGCCAGAGGCTATAATCCTGGAGAAGGGCTGGAGGGCTGGATATACAGATTTCTGAGGGACTGTGCCCAGAGGTGCTTGAGAGTCTCTGAGAGGCTATGATCCTGGAAGGTTAAGGAAGAGTTAGGGAATGGGGCATAGTCCGCAAAAAGTAGGCACTTTGAGCCTGGCTGTTCCAGGCTGAAGAGGGAGAAAGGGGCGGGGAACTGAGCAGCCCGGAATTTTGTCCCTCCCTTCCTCCAACAGGAACCTAAGGAGATGCTGAGTTTAAGGTGAAAGAGGGCACCTAGGGTGGGAAATTGGAGGGCTCGAAGGTGGGAGCATGGGGGACCTTAAGCAAGGTGTCTAAAGGGACAGGGAGCCAACTGCACTGTGCCAACCTCCCACCTCCAGTGAGTACCACGAGCGCGTGCGCTCCCAGGGGCAGCAGCTGCAGCAGCTACAGGCCGAGCTGGATAAACTGTACAAGGAGGTGTCCAGCGTCCGCGCAGCCAACAGCGAGGTGAGCCCCGGCCCACCTTGGAAACCCCTGGAGGATCCCCGCTCCCTGGGTCCTGAGGCTTAAGCTCCGCCCCAAAGCTCTGCGTGATTTTTCCCGGGGCCCACAAAGTCGCCCCCAGAGCACCTAGTTCCCAGGGAACCCCGCCCACCTGTATGACCAGCCCGCAAGTCCTGCTCCTCCAGGCTCCACACCCCCTCTTTTCAGAGAGTGGCTACGCTCGTGTTCCAGAGGCTGAATGAGGACTTTGTGCGGAAACCCGACTATGCGCTGAGCTCTGTGGGTAAGACCCAGAGATAACTGAGGGACAGAGAAATTGACACAGACAGACCTATGCACCTGGCCGGCGAAAGAAGACAGAGCCTCAGACAGACCGTCCCCCAGCTGTCGGTAAGGCCTGGGAGCCCCTGAGGGTTACCACTCCTCCTTGCTCCAGGAGCCTCCATTGACCTAGAGAAGACATCCCACGACTACGAAGACACGAACACTGCCTACTTCTGGAATCGCTTCAGCTTCTGGAACTATGCACGGCCGCCCACAGTTATTCTGGAGGTGAGCTGGAAACAGAATCCCGAGATGGGACCAGGGGCGGGAGGCTCGCGAAAGGACCCAGAACAACTCCCCGGAGACTGGACCTGGCTGAGCTGAGGGCGTGGCGCTAGGTGGGGCCTGGCTGGGCAGAGGATGGGCCTCGCTGGAGGCGGGGCCTGGCTTGGCTTGGCGAGCCTTTGGGCGAGTCCAGGGATGAACAGGCAGTGCTGAGCACTGGGCCCCTTGGCGGGATCTGGCTGGCCAGGGACCGGGGCTGGAGGCACAGCTGCGGGCCCGACCGAAGTTGGGGTCGCGCTGAGGGCGGAGCCTACCTGATCCGACACCCACGCTGGGGAGGCGCAGCAGTCGCTGTGTCCTCTGGTTCTGATGGTCTATCCGCCCGTCTGCAGCCAGACGTGTTCCCTGGGAATTGCTGGGCTTTTGAGGGCGACCAGGGCCAGGTGGTGATCCGGCTGCCAGGTCGTGTGCAGCTGAGCGACATCACTCTGCAGCATCCGCCGCCCAGCGTGGCGCACACCGGGGGAGCCAACAGCGCCCCCCGCGACTTCGCAGTCTTTGTGAGTGGAGCCGAGGTCAGGAGGTGGGGGATTTTACCTAGAAAGCCCCAAGCAGTCGTTAAAACTGCTTTCAGTTTTGAGTCTTAGTTTGCTCATCTATAAAATGGAGATACTACTATTTGCCTCTTAGGGCTGCTGTAGGTTATACTCGTAACCATGTCCAAATAGGAGTTATGGCCTGTTGAGCGCCCACTCTGTGACAAGCAGTTTCTATGCATCATCTCATTGCATCCACATAACAACCT